ATATGTAAAAATATCGTGAACTAGTTTATTATATTATATTATATTATATTATATTATATTATATTATATTATATTATATTATATTATATTATATTATATTATATTATATTATAACTGCTTTAACCACACCTTAATCCCTTCGATTACCTTGTCCACAATTTGTGGACCTTGTCATCAGTTAGTTAATTGTTTTTAAGAGTAGCTATTAAGTAAGTTAAGTTCAGAGTTAAACAAAATTTTATTGGGAAAACCAATAAAATGTAAGGAGAAACGAATAATATTTAACTTCGCACTATCGGATAAATATCCGATCGAATAAAAATGTATCCACATAAGAATTTATCCGAATAAAATTTTGCAATCTCCGTTAAAATAATTTATTCGAATAGAAGATGCAGAATTGTTCGAATAATTAGATAAAATAATTTGTTACGAATAATGAATAATTTTTATTCGAACAGATTATTCAACTGAATGGAATTCATAGGAATAATTATCTTAGCCGAATATTTACACGAACGATGCCCAACTCTGCAAGAAGATCGCGACACTTGAAAATCACGGCGCGCTGATTATTCTGCTCGCGGATTCAAACAACGAGTTAACTCGGTCAAAAAAACTGAATGGATTGTTTAGGCTACGAGGACACAACTCGACAAACACCAGTTCGGGCCCGTGTTCTAGAGTCTAGCGGAACTTGGGTTGAACATCCCCGCCTCAGGATGTTCCGGAAACATGGAGGGCTCTCGAAAATTCTCGAGAGCCAAATCCTGGGGGTTTGTCGAGTCATCTTGGAACCATCGACGCGGCTGCGGAGGGCAATCGTCGATTCCGGTCGATAACGAATACATTAAATGCGTTTGAAATGCTACACGAGCCCCGGACCCGCCATTAGCACGCCGCTGGACGATCCGAAACGGCGCGGCGGCGGCGGCGGCCCGACGTGGCCCGACGCGGCGCGGCCCGGTGGCCACCGGCACCTCGGGTCTTTGAGGGTTAATTGCGGACGTGTTGCGGAATTCCATTAATCGAAACGGCTTTCGGGGCTTCTCTGGTATTTAAACTACACGCGGACACGCGCGCCTTATTCGCCGCTGATCGATGCTCGTCGACTGTTCGCTTTCGTGTCCACCGGCGTGGAAACGCCGCCGTCTAAATAACTAAAATCGACAAAGCCCGATCGAATCCGCGTTGCTCTCGAGTCGGGCTGTGCCGCAGCCCCGAAATCCCTGGTCCCCGGCGCATCGGGACGATTTAGAGCGTGTTCGCCAAAGCGTCTCGCGACGCGGAGTCTCCGGATTTGGCTTGCTATATCCTCCCGAAAAATGCGAATTAAACTATAACCAAACTGATCTGTTTGGTTCGACTGGGATCAAGTGCAAAATACACGTTGCAGACTCGCAGTTTGTAGAGGGTGAGTGTAAACTGTAACGCTTGCGGTCCTCTTATCTTTGGTGCCTTTAACTCGGCGGGAGACGAGACGCCACTGGCTAAAATTTACCACAGAAGTAACCAAGTAATATTGAGAAGATTGTTTGAGTTTGTGT